CATGCTGTGCTAAACCCCAGCCCTAATACAACAGAGTTCTTATCAGTAAGGTATAACTGCAATGCTACTTTTGGACTCTCGTTTGCTGAGGTGTTCCTGCGAGTATCTCTGCAGAACTTAGGAAACTATTTCTTGGTTTAAGTTGTTGGCATGTTGACTGGTATCCGAACAGAGGATGGGCCAGAGATGTCAATGCCTTGGACCTTTCATTATTGGCTGCTACTTCCCGGCAGATATCAGGTGGTGCAATTTCGCCAGTGGTGTTGGGGGTAGACATCTTGTGGTAATGCGGCATGTCTCATTAAGAGCCACTTCCACTGTTTTAACAGTGTGTTCCACATTGGGCATGCGTATTCAGCAGCCGAGTAGCAAAACACAAGGGCAGATGTCTTCACTGTGTCTGGTTGTGATCACCAGGTTGTGCCAGTCAACTTTCGTATCATATTGTTTCTTGCCCCCACTTTTTGCTTGATAGTCAAACAGTGCTTCTTCTAAGTCAGAGCACGGTCCAGAGTGACTCCCCATTATTAATACATTTATATAGAATCATAGAATCAAAGAGTTGGAAGAGACCTCATGGGCCATCCAGTCCAACCCCCTGCCAAGAAGCAGGAATATTGCATTCAAATTACCCCTGACAGATGACCATCCAGCCTCTGTTTAAAAGCTTCCAAAGAAGGAGCCTCCACCACACTCCGGGGCAGAGAGTTCCACTGCTGAACGGCTCTCACAGTCAGGAAGTTCTTCCTCATGACTGTGAGAGCCGTTCACCCTTTCTCCCAATATAGAGCTCAAGATGACTCACAATATGAGTTAAAATACAATACAGTTTAAACAACAGAGCATGCTAACAATAAACCAAAAATCATATTAAAAGCATAAATTTAGAAGTTTTTAAAAGCCATGAAAATATAAATAAAGCATGCTAAAAACACAATAAAACATATATCAGTTTAGAAGACCTTCTGCAATAGACTGGTGAAGTAATTTAGTTATCTCAATTTTAAATAAATCACAACTTTGTGTCCCTTCTGTTACCAAAGCCCTAAATCTGAGTCCCAAGACTCAACTCAATCCAAGATTGTCATATATACTCTCTCTTTTTAAAGCACAGTTGAGTTTCATATATAAAGGAGTTAAAATTCTCTACAGAGTCTATTTGTCTCTGGTTTTTTATGGGTTTTTCTAGAATATGCTTCAGGGTAGCACACTGCACATCAAATCAGGCTTGCTTAGTTTGTAGGGGTGAGAGGTTTCGGAGTTGACCACTAGTGGTTTGATTTGTTTTACTCCTCTGTCAATAATTTTCAAAATGTCTAAGCTGGATGAAGCTTGTTTCCTAAGAAACAATACTCTGGGAGCCATTAGAAAGGAATTTATTTCTTCCTATCTCCTTGGGCTAATAAATTGTCTGAGCGGGTGACACTGGAGACATAGACAGAAATAAGCAGTTGAATTGGAATATGATTACTCTGTTGTCTAGCAAAAACTGAAATTCTTAAAATAAAAGGCAGCTGAGAGAGGAACATAAAACACATTCATAACCTTAGATCCAAAATACATATTTCTTGTTAACTGCTATCAAGTTGACTTTGACTAATGGCAATCTGATGAACGAGGCACCTCCAAGTCATCTTATGATCAACAGCTACTTTGGTCTTGCATACTCAGGTTCTTGTCTTCTTTGATTGAATCCATTCATTTGCAAAGTGATCTTCTCTTCCTACTACTTCTATCTTAACAAGCATTAGCTTTCCAATGAGTCGTATCTTCTCATGATATATCCAAAGTATGAGAGTCTCTGTTCGGTCATCATGGCTTCTACAGAGAATATAGGTTTGGTTTGCTCTAGGAGCCATTTATTTCTCTTTTGAGCCATCCATGGTATTGGTTTGTTGTTGTTCATTTGTTCAGTCGTCTCCGACTCTTCGTGACCTCATGGACCAGTCCACACCAGAGCTCCCTGTCGGCCGTCACCACCCCCAGCTCCTTCAAGGTCAGTCCAGTCACTTCAAGGATGCCATCCATCCATCTTGCCCTTGGTCGGCCCCTCTTCCTTTTGCCTTCCACTTTCCCCAGCATAATTGTCTTCTCTAGGCTTTTCTGTCTCCTCATGATGTGGCCAAAGTACTTCAACTTTGTCTCTAGTATCCTCCAATGAGCAGTCGGGCTTTATTTCCTGGAGGATGGACTGGTTGGATCTTCTCGCAGTCCAAGGCACTCTCAGAACTTTCCTCCAACACCACAGCTCAAAAGCATCGATCTTCCTTCGCTCAGCCTTCCCTAAGGTCCAGCTCTCACATCCGTAGGTTACTAAGTGTGGCGCAAATAAAATCACACATAGTTCACACTTTTATCAGTCCACACACTGTCTTGCCAGAGAAAGAAAATATGCCACGCAGATGATCAGTAAAGAACAAGGAGTTTACTCTTTGTAATGCAGAGCAACATATATACAATCATGTGGACAGTTGCATTGACTCACACAATGTCCTCTTGATAGCAATTCAAAGTCCTTAAACCTTCAAGAGGCTACGTACAGAGGCTAGCTGAGCCTGGGAGTTTTGGCAACAGTTACCTATTTAGACTTTAGCTGGGCAGGAGCTAGTAGAGAGAGTTTTGAGTTCTTTCTCCTGGGCTGCTGGAAGAGGATCTTCCACATGGACACCTAAAGACCAGTGTCCATGTAGAAGATCTCTTCCAGCAGCCCAGCAGCAAGAACTCAAAACTGTCTCTCTGCTAGCTCCTGCACAGCTAAAGCCTAAACATGGAACGGTTGCCAAAACTCCCTGGCTCAGCTAGTCTCTGGACATAGCCCAATCAATCAGCTTCATGCTTTGTATTTTCAGTTAACACACTCACCCACTGATTTTTTTTACATACCATAACAAGTAGAACCCTCTAGCACAGTGGTTCTCAACTTGTGGGTCCCCAGGTGTTTTGGCCTACAATTCCCAGGAATCCCAGTCAGTTTACTAGATGTTAGGATTTCTGGGAGTTGAAGGCCAAAGCATCTGGGGACCCACAGGTTGAGAACCACTGCACATTGGAAATGAGTTCTTTTCCTATCAGCTTTATCCAATGCCCAGTTTTCACATCCGTCCATATGAATTGGAAATATATGGACATGGACAATACAAACTTTATGATTCCAGTATATAGTTTGACTCTTCGGGATCATCTTACTTCCTCCATAGCTGCCCTTCCAAGTCCTAATATTTTTCTGATATCTTGACTGCAGTATACATTGTGATTAATAACTGAGCCAAAGTATGGAAAATCTTGAAGTATTCTAACACATTGTCTGTTTTAATGTTATGTAAATCACCTGTGGTCATTATCTGTGCTTTCTTAATGTTCAACTGTAAACCTGCCTTTGCACATTTTCTTCAATAATAATCCCAACAAGCCATTTCTATTCATGACCACACTTTACAGAAAATTAATGCAACGGCCCTACAGTTACTGCAATTCCTGGTGTCCTCTTTGCTTATGGATTGCAATGTAGATTGAATGTCTGCAACTTAAGAGCCATGATTTTGTTTTCTAGATTTGTTGACAGAGGCTTGTCTACCTGGAATTAATAACTCATACTCATTGTGCTGTTGCTCCTGGCTATCTCCATAACATTATGTAGTGTCCAGTGTTCATTTCATGGTAAACTGGGTTAACTTGCTTTAGTCTTCCATTAAGAAAAGTCAGTGGATGATTTAAAGCAGGCATGCACAAACTTCGGCCTTTGAGGTGTTTTGGACTTCAACTCCCACAATTCCTTAGGAATTGACGTCCAAAACACCTCAAGGCTGAAGTTTGGTCATACCTGATTTAGGGTTTGGCTAAAACTTTGGAGCAACCCCATAACTTTGATGAAGTATGGATAGCAGGACTGGGTCCAATTCAGAACAATGCACTGTCTGAATGAGGCATCATCACCATAAAATAGAGCTGGCAGAGAACCCAAGAGCCATCTAGTTCAACTTCCTTCTGTCATGCACTGCAAGCACTCACAAGAGATGGACGTCCAGCCTCTGTTTGAAAACCTTCAAAAAGTAGGCTCTGCCATACTCGAGACAGCAGCATATGAGTATTTCAGCATCAAACAGCTCTTACAATTATTTATTTATTTATTTATTTATTTATTTATTTATTTATATTATTATTTAGGGCATTTATATCCCGTCCTACCTCGCCCTCCAGAGAGGGACTCAGGGCAGCTAATGACAAAACATAAATATACTTATTAAGTAAAAACAGTATAACATTATAAAAACATTAAAACAATCACCAATTTAAGTCGTCGTCCTAAAAGCAGTCCATCAGAGTTCATTAAAAACCATAGCTTTGCCATCAAATCAGTCTAGTCTGCAAAGGCCTGATCCCACAGCCAGGATTTCACTTTTTTTGGAAGGCCAGGAAAGATGGAGCAGATCTGATTTCACTTGGGAGGGAATTCCATAGCCAAGGGCCCACCACAGAGAAGGCCCTGTCTCTTCTCCCCACCAACCATGATTGTGATGGTGGGGGGACCGCAAGCATGTCCTCCCTGGACGATCTTAAAGTTCTAGGTGGTTCATAGCGGGAAATACGTTCGGACAAGTAAACTGGGCCAGAACCGTTAAGGGCTTTATAGGCCAAAGCCAGCACTCTGAATTGTGCTTGGAAGGTAATAGGCAGCCAGTGGAGCTGGCATAGCAAGGGCATTGTGTGCTCTTGGTATCCTGCTCCCGTGAGCAACTTAGCTGCTAAATGTTGGACTAGCTGAAGCTTCCAAACAGTCTTCAGAAGCAACTCTACGTAGAGTGCATTGCAGTAATCTATTTGGGATGTAACCAGAGTGTGGACTACGTGGCCAACCACTTCATATTAAGATGAACCATTTGCCAATCCTGTTTGGCACTGTAACTGGCAAGCACTAAGGTCCTGGTCATGTTTTGTCTTAGTCCTAATAACCAAGGTTCTTTACATGGTGATACTCCACTGATTGTGACTATTGAGTGGAATCCATTGTAGTAACATCTTTATTAATTCCATTTGTAATTCTAAAGGTGAACAACAGTTTAATACATTTACAGAGACATTTTTCTTTATTCTGAAGTGATCAATAACATTTACTTCTCTATACTCCAGTTTTCATCTGTTTAAACACTTGATGAACAGAAAACAACATTTAAAAACTTATTTGCTGGCAGTCATACAATAAAAATCTCTGTAGAGAGCACAGTCTGTAAGGCTCAACAGAAGAGATGTCGACTGTTGCAGAAACCATCCTTCAGATTCAACAATTTGGTCTTCGCCACAGCTGTAGCTTTTAGCACCTTAACAATCTTCTTGTATCAGTCCTTACATTCCTCTTCTCTCTGTATTGTCCGAACTGGAGGAAGACTGTGAAGGATTTTCTCCATGTGTTTCCCACAGTTTAAGCCAATGTTCTGAAATGTCATATGTATGCAATATGTCTGAGTAAAGTAAGAAGTTCTGCAGGCAATCAGGTAATGGTAACTGGTGGACAAACTGGTCTGATCGTAAGCGATCGCTTGTTAGAAGTGACCGGGTTTCCAAACGGCAAAGATGCGACAAGGAAGGGATACATTCTGTCATAAGAAAGAAAAACAATTCATTAGGAGCACAATTACCGAGAAGGGTGCACTCAGCGCCAAAGACCGACAGACAAAACAGACTCAACAAGAGGTTGCAGGAGAGATTTCACAGCTGAAACCAGGAGATGGAGTTCATTCCCTCAGGGCAGGCAAATCCTTCTGCATCCTGCCTGTTGGTCATACCTTTACTTTGGGTAAGCCCAAATACTTCTATTTTTCTCTATCCTCTCAAACTGGTGCTTGTGGAGATCAGTTGGGATATATTTGTGCATTTTCAACATGAGCAAAAATTGCTCAAAATTGTGAAGTGTCTTTTTCTCTTCTAAATTGGGGTAGAGACTGGGGAGGGGGGCTTCAGGGGTCACAAAACTAGGGTCCGAAGTCCTAGAGACCATATTTTGACCACATCATTCAAGCCCAAAGCCTGCCATCACCCCACTTAGCCCCTCATCCCCTGCAAATAAAATAGGAAGCATTGGTCTGGCATCCAGTCCTTCCATGGTCTCCAACATTTCTTATAATAAAAGGAGGAAAAACAATACATGTTCTAAATGTTCTAAAGGCATTCTCTCCTGACGTTTTGCCTGCATCTATGGCAAGCATCCTCACTACCTCTGAGGATGTGTGCCATAGATGCAGGCGAAACGTCAGGAGAGAATGCCTTTAGAACATGGTCATATAGCCGATAAAACCTACAACAACCCAGTGATTCTGGCCATGAAAGCCTTCGTCAATACATATTTTTATTATTTATCAACTAAATCAACATGATAATTAGATCCAGGGAAGTCATGCTACCCTTCTATTCTGCCTTGGTCAAACCACACCTGGAATTACACTATATCCAGTTCTGGCCACTGCAATTGAAGGGAGATGTTGACAGGCTGGAAGGTGTCCAGAGGAGGGCAAATATAATGATTAAAGGTCTGGAGAACATGCCCTATGAGGAGCGACTTAACAAGCTGGGCATGTTTAGCCTGCAGAAGAGAAGGCTGAGAGAAGACATGATGAGGGCTACATATAAATATGTGAGGGGAAGTCAGGGTGGAGGGAGCAAGCTTGTTTTCTGCTGCCCTGGAGACTAGGATGTGGAACAATGGCTACAGGAAATGAGATTCCACCGGAACACGAAGAAAAACTTCCTAACGGTGAGAGCTGTTCAGTAGCAGAACTCTATGCCCTGGAGTGGGGTGGAGGCTCCTTCTTTTGAGGCTTTTAAACAGAGGCTGGATGGCCATCTGTCAGGGGTGCTTTGAATACAATTTTTCTGCTTCTTGGCAGAATGGGACTGGACTGGATGACACATGAGGTCTCTTCTATGATTCTATAATGCATAACTACTCTGTGTTAACAAATGTTAAGTTGGTATTCTTTTTTCACAGTCATTCTAACGAAAGAAAAACAGGTATACCGTACCACACATGAGACTGTTGTTAAAAACCCGCAGACTAAGATGAAGCATTTTCAAGGCAGGCAACAGAGGATAAATAATGGGGGAAATGCCTATTCAGCAAGCCGATGGAGAGAAGTTAATTAAACAAATACTCAGGCTGAGCTGTCTCCGTATGTTTGCTGGCCTTGCACACAAGAGAGAAGAGGCATTTTCCAGTCAGAGTCTGGGCTAACCTTTCCATTATTATTTTTTTAAAGGGATTTCATTCTCCTGAGTCTCTAGTTAGCAACCGATGATTGCGCACTGCATCTGCACTATCTCCCTGCCCACTGGGTGGTCTGCAGTCTCACTGCTGCTAGAAATAATTGGATGACCTTTTGTAGGATCAAGCGGGGCCATTGGATGGTTTATAAAAAGACAACAGCACAGTGATTTCAGAAGCCTAATTGGAAGGGCCAAGTTGTTTGAACGCTTCTGCTCTGAGACTCTTTGGTGGCCGCTCCCTGACTTCTGAGCAGCTTCCCCAGGGAGGAGAGGGTGGCCCCTTCCTCTATTCTCCTTAGAACAGCAAATTAAAACATTTTTATGGCATCAGGCTTTTGATAAATGGCCAGGGCTGTATTTTTTAATGCCATCTGGTGCTGTTTTTAAACGTTTCTATGTTTTAAGGCAGATGTGTCAACTCAAGGCTCACAGGCCAAATCGGCCCACCATGTCATTTTATGTGGCCCTCCAGCATTTGTCATCATTAGACACCACGACTAGAGCTGATGGGAGTTGTATTCAGTAACATCTGGAAAGCTGCAGTTTGATTAATCATTATTTGAATTTAGATACAAGGCTTGGGACTGCGGTAGCGTAACAGGTTAAATCACTAAGCTGCAGAACTTCCTGACTAGAAGGTGGGCGGTTCAAATCTGCGGGATGGAGTGATCTCTCGTTGTTAGCCCCAGCTTCTGCCAACCTACCAGTTAGAAAACATGCAAATGTGAGTAGATCAATAGGTAGTACTTCAGCGGGAAGGTAATGGGGCTCCATGCAGTCATGCTGACCACATGACCTTGGAGATATCTATGGGCAATCAAAAGTGGGGGGCTTAGATATGGAGATGGATACCACTCCCCAGTTGGACTCAACTAGACTTAGTGTCAAGGGGAAACCTTTACCTTTACCATTACAAGGCTTGTGGAGATGATGTCTCACTTTAAAATGGCCTTTTACCCTTCCTTCAACCTTAGAGTCACAAGTGCTGTTGGGCTGCAATTGCCATTATCCCATCGGCATGGCGGATTATAAAAAGTGAGGGGCTTGTCGTTCAATAACATCTAAGGACACAAATCAGGTAAAAACTAAAAAGCATCAACCATAATGTCAAAAATATATATAGTTGGCCCTCTGTATCCATGGTTTCTCCATCCATAGATTCAATGGCCCTTTGAACCACAAGGCTGATGTGGCCCTCGATGAAAATGAGTCTGACACCCCTGTTTTAAGGTTTGTACCTTTTATTGAACAACCTGCGTAGTTTTAATTTATGTTGTTTTAAATATGCTGCTAAACATGCTCATTGCTGAGTTGTTGCTGTTTTTTTCATGTCAGGAGCTATTGACAAACTGCAAGTTGCTTCTGGTGTGAGAGAATTGGCTGTTTGCAAGGACGTTGCCCAGGGGATGCCTGGATGTTTGATGTTTTACTATCCTTGTGGGATGCTTCTCTCATGTCCCCTCATGGGGAGCTGAAGCTGACAGAGGGAGCTCAATTGCTCCCCCTGGATTTGAACCGCTGACCTATCAGTCAGCTGTCCTGCTGACATAAGGGTTAACCCACTGCGCCTCTGGTATGATATACAGCATGACCCCCATATTTGTGGACCGGTACTCATAGCTTTAACTACCCACACTCACACTCAACAAATATATCCTGTCAAGGAATTTGCTAGGGCTCCATCGTATTACCACCTGTGTTTGATTATATTTCCACCATGAAAATGGAGCCCACAGAAGAGTGAGACTGTAAGAATGAAGAACTCAAAGACTAAGGTGGGAACTCCTTTACCTCCTTTACCTCTATTTTAGATTTTTTTAAAAAAGTATGAAGTTGGCTTACACACGAAACTTAAACAGCTGTCTTTGGACTACAACTCCCAGAATTCCCCAGTCAGCATTCCCAAGCTCAGACTGCCACTCATTTATTAATTTATCTTAGCACTGATAATAGTTTTCCAGCCCAAACTTAGAACCACCCCCACCCCACCCCCCTCCCTAATAAACCTTTGCCATTTATGCTATGAAATAAATGGAATACATTTAAATGAATGAGTTTGTGTGGCTCACATACCAAAGTGTCTACGGGGCACCCAGGCGGAAGTTTCTTTGCGGGCAGAGAGGATCTGTTCCACATCCGGAGGAAGCCTCTTCCAGTTAGTAAACTCCAGAAGGAAGTTCAGAGCATCATTGTCTAAACAACAAAGCCTAGGAGAGAAACAAAATTTGGTTATCATGAGAATGAATGTAGCATAATGACTGATGTTGCACTTTGGCCAAGGTTACCCACATCCATGTAAACCAACATACATGTAAGCTAAGGTTTGGAAGTTAGCAGGTTGTATTATACCACAAAAGGAATACTGCTACAATAATAATAGTAAATTTTGCAACAGGTTCATTCTCTGGATAAAGAAATTAAGCACAATTACTACCCATTTGTATGAGGGTTGAATGAAAAGTAATGCCTCTACCTTTGTAACTCCTCATCAGATGGCAGTACTAGTATGCGGCAGGTACTGGCTTGTTCAGTAGACTCTCCTCTACAGTTCCACTTTGGTGGGAAGCCTTAGCATTGAACGGTTGTGTTGTTAAAGTGTAAAATGTGAAGTATGGAACCTTGCGCAGACGGTCAGTCAATGCGACTTAAGCAACGTGCAATCATTGAATTCTTGACAGCAGAAGGAGATTCATCAGAGAATGCAAGCTGTTTATGCTGATTGTGTTGATGTGAATACTGTGTGTCATTGGGCAAGTAAGTTTAAAGATGTTAAGGTGGAAACATCTGACTTGCTTGATAAACAAAGAGTTGGACGTCCTGTGACAGCAAACACTGAGTTTCACAAGCAAAAGTTTGACAGACTGATTTGGGACGATCGTCGTATCACTCAGAGAGAAATTTCAAACATATTCAAGCATAATCGGCATTTCACATTATTGTTTTGCTTGGCTATCGGAAGATCTGTGCACGATGGGTTGTGGAAACAGAGTGTCGACTTCTTCCGTGACAGCTTCAGAAAACTTGTTCATCGTTGGCAGAAATGTATCCAATTGTTTGGTGATTACGTGGAAAAGTGAATAGTGGTAGTTAAAGAGCACATTCTAAGGATTATTTCTGCATTTGATTTATTAAAATATTCCCATCCAAACCCAAGTAACAAAGGTGGAGGCATTACTTTTCATTCAACCTTCATAATTTTTTCCTCAGCTCTCACTGGAATGGCTCAGAGACATGCCTGAAGCCTGAACTTAGACTGAACCCAGTATTAAACTACCCTTAGAAAATAGGCTTCCAGTTTTGAATCCTAAACCTATGCAAATACTCGAATTAAAGGATTAATTTCATTAGCCGTAAGGAAATGTTAATTGCCTACAAAGCAAGAACTCGGGACTGAAGTGGTTAAAGAATCATTCTCAGTCTGCCTACATCCACTGACCTTTAACGATATTTGGCTTTGGAATACACAGCTTTTTTATTATCATTTTAATGCAACTGTGAGCCTAGCATTTTCAGCTAGAAAATAATTTCTGCCCTTTTGCAGCAAAAAAAAGCAATTCCCCACACAGGGGTGGGCGATGTACATGCCTTACCCCCCCACTCTTGAAAGCCCTGGAAATACAGCATGGGGCTTCTTTCTCTTATTACTTGAAGGACTCAGACCTCCTGCCCTCAATGATGAGTCAACACAGCTGGAATCTGACACCAAACACAATATTTTGAAAGATCAGTGCAATGCTCGCGATGCTCTTCCTGTAAGCAAGCTCTGCTGTCGCTTTTCTCCTGACTTCACTGTCTGCCAATAATGGTTTGCTCCTAGCCTGCTTCTGTTTCAGGAACCTAAAAATCTTCTGTTTATACAGCTCACATACCAGAATGTAAAAGAATGGACTATCTGTATAGCACTTCCTTCATGCATTCACTTTGCTCAAGCAATGCTCATGTGCCACATATGGTCATGCGAATATGTAAGCATGCAGCACACACTACGTTATGTGTATATGTATGTTCACATAGCCACTCATATGCATGCTTACCAAGGCTTACAGAGAAGATTCACTGGATTAAACCCAGCCAAAAGGAGAGAAGGAAGCCACTCTCTATATTTTCCTCCAGCATTAATTGCACACTTTGAAAATTCTGCCAAGTGCTGCCCACTTGGAAACCTGCAACCCCGCTTCAAGAAATGCTGAAATAATGAGAACTTTCCCAGGTGCAGACAGCAGCTTAAATCTGTTTCCAAAGGAGTGATGCCATACTTGAGAAGAAGAGTAATTAACCCAAATCTATAATAATAAATAAACAGTAGACAGATATATAGTGAGTCAGCAGACATACAATAAGTCAAATTAATACAGTGGTTCCCAACACTTTCTGAATTTTTGCTGTTGTTAACCGCTTTGAGTCGCCTAAGGGCTGAGAAAAGTGGTATACAAATGAAGTAAATAAATAAATAATTGAACTGAATGGTGATTATTTGGAATAATTATGTAATACCTATGCTACAATCCATGTAAGTTTTATTAAAATATTTTCATTCTTTGTACTTTTTTTTAAAAAAATCTTGTAACCTTACTTTCGGGATAACTCTCGTACTATATTAACACATTCATTTCTGTTTTTCAAAAAATCTCCTATTGCCAACTGGATCACAGACAACATGCCCTCATATCAGTGAAAATTTTAACTGTCTCTCCAAGGCTTAAAAATGGAAAGACGTACTATCTATTGCCATGTTAAAAGCATTCTCTGCTCACAAAAGCAAGTAAACAAGAGAAGGATATTATGAGAGGATACCAACAGCCATTTCAGCCAGAAGGCGTCTGTGGGAAAAGAGAACCATGCTAATTAAGAATATGCTTGACTCAATTAAAAAATAATGTCAGGTTCCCAGGAGACAAGAGATTGCTGATAAGACCCTTTGAAAGGGAGGAAATTAGTCTAACTGTGTGTTCAACAAGCTTCTTCAAAGAGAGGAGCTTCCCTAAGGAGCTCCTGACAAGGTTCTGTAGTGCCTACATATGACCCAGAACTGCAGGAACTTATGGTTTTCGCAAAGCAAAACCTCATGTCTGCTTTCTTAGAAATAAGCCCTGCTGAGTTTAATTGGACTTACTTTCAGATACATGCATACCTTTGTAACGTAAACATGCAATCTTATAAATCACTAAGAGCAATAGAACTTATTATCAGTTAAGTGTAGAGAAATGGAAATTTAGTAACTTGTGAGAAGAAAAGCAATTATGTTGTTTAAGAGTCTGCAGTGGTGGATGATACCAAGGTCAAAAAAAATCCAAAGTCCTATATCTAATGTTTGCTTCCTCATTGGGATGTAGCCTACCTGGAAATATTTTTGCTATAGTCAGGAAACAGTCAACCATTTCCCTGAAGGCAGAAATCCTGAAGGACATTAGATATAGGACATCCACTATGCTTTGCCTGTGACTACTGTGTCTTCAGTCCAAAATAACCACAAGCAACATACCCTTTTTGGATAGCCAGAGACATGGGCGATCTGCAGCCGAAGACTGGACAAGGCTGGGCATCTGGGCTATAGCCTTCTTTGAGCAATAATTCCAAGCAATCTGTATGGTCGCCATAGATTGCTGAGTAGACAGGACTCACTTTGCCTTCAGCACTGCAACAGAGCTGGTCAGTCACTGAGATAAGCATTTCCAATATTCTGTGGATATACAAAGTGGATGTTATGATTTTCTATTTCTATGCAAGTGTAACGGACCCCCAGGTGGCACAGCAGGTCAAACTGCTGAGCTGCTGAACTGCTGAACTTGGCGGTTCAAATCTAGGGAGTGGGGTGAACTCCCGCAGTTAGGCTCAACTTCTGCCAACCTAGGAGTTCGAAAATAGGCAGGTATGAACAGATCAATAGGTGCCGCTTCTGCTGGAAGGTAATAGTGCTCCATGCAGTTATGCTGGCCACATGACCTTGGAGGTGTCTACGGACAATACTGGCTCTTCAGCTTGGAAATGGAGATGAGCACCACCACCCAGAGTTGGACACAACTAGACTTAAACGTCAAGGAAAACCTTTACCTTTATGCAAGTGTAAGGCATTTCCCATGATTCTTAGAGATTAAAGCGTATCATTCCTGAAACTTTGAAGCTGGTCTACACTGATTTTATGCCTCTCATTGGACCACAAGTCGAACCTGTATGCCCAAACAATGTTCAGGGGCTTCCAGTTCATAATGCGGGGTAAACCAGCGCTTTCCAATGTTAGGGAATTTTCTGGAGGCAAAAGGAAACAGGTGAAACCCGTGCCACCCTCCCAACAGGGGATCATGGAATTCAAGAAGAGCTCCTGCCTGTTGCCAGGAGCATTAGCAAAGGTGCCTATGCAACCAAAGAGAAAGAGGAGGAATTCATAGAATCATAGAATCAAAGAGTTGGAAGAGACCTCATGGGCCATCCAGTCCAACCCCCTGCCAAGAAGCAGGAATATTGCATTCAAATCACCCCTGACAGATGGCCATCCAGCCTCTGTTTAAAAGCTTCCAAAGAAGGAGCCTCCACCACACTCCGGGGCAGAGAGTTCCACTGCTGAATGGCTCTCACAGTCAGAATTGACCACCTCCTTCTCTTTTATCGCACAGCCACCCTTGCTGATGTCAGCAAAGACACCTGGCAGTGGCCAGAAGTTCTCCTGGAGCTGCATGGCTATCCGGCTGTAGCAACAGAGACAGAAATGGTAAGGTGATAGTGCTGGCAGCAAACTGGTTTTGGCTGTGGTGTACAGGCTGAAGTTCATCCCACCACTGTTGCAGGATGGAGACAGATAGTGTAATCACCCCCAGTCAGTCCACAGTATTGTGACAACTGTCCTTAGATTTTAATACAGATGTAGATAAGCCCCATATTAGATCTCTGCGCATACCCAAGGAATATCTTTGCTTTGTCTGTTATAGAAGAAACAACAAAATCGTGGACTAATTCCAATTTGCATTCATGGAATGATTACCTGTACTAATGACATCCCATATCTTAATGTACAAGCACGTAGTTCATACTTTTCTTCTAGCAGAGTGAACAAGACCCAGGAACAAAGTCTTTCATGAACTTACTTGCTGTGCCCCATTTGTGCCGCAGCGTGGATAGGCAACTGCCATTCCTCTTCGTTACAGTACAAGTTTGGATCCGCTCCACTGGATAACAACAATTCCACACATTTGTCATTGCCCTCCTGGGCAGCAATGAATAGTGGTGTGGCTCGGTCTGTGGCTTGACAATTGACGTTTGCCCCTGACAGGGAATTTAAATAGACTGATGAAAAAGGTGGTAATGATTAGCAAAAAAAAAAAAAAAAAATCTCAGAAACATTCCTACCATTACAGTAATTCAATTTTATCAAGTGTGCTAGCTGCACAAACTCCATGCGGAATTAGATTAATATTCCATGTAGTCCTGCCAGATACCACTAGATGCTCAAAAAACCAGTATGAGAACAATGAATTTCTACTATATATGATATAGTAACTTATAGTCTGCGGTATATTCCCACTGAACATGCAGGTTCCATTTGGCTATCTCTTCCTGAATCTTTCAAATTTGGCCTCCTAGCTCTGTTTAGTGTGTTGTGCAACAGCTCTGGAGATTTATGGGTGGATGTGATGAATAGTCTTTGAAGACTGACCTTTATGTTTAAAATAACTGATACATTTCAGGACAATGTGCTGGTTCATGCTGATCAGCACCATTTGCTAAAGGTGAAGTCTGTGAGATTAGAAGCCTTAAGCATGAGTAAGATTTTTTAAATTTATATTTAGATTCTATTTCTGAAACTATTCCCAAGCTGCAGTTTACACTTCTCCTGAGGAACTTACTCATTGCCAAAAGTTGAAGTGGCATCAGTGAGAAGGATAGCAAGCTAACACACTGGCTCTGTGGCAGATTGCAACACTATGTGCTGCATGAACAAGAAAGAACTATCAAGACCCTTATATACACAACATGGGCACACCATGCAACTAGAATTCAATAGATATCCTAAACAGAAAATGACATTCCTTACCCACCTGACCTATTTCCTTGAAATGTGCCAAATGTTCAAGTAATTGTATTTATCAAGATTCCCCATGGCCATGGCCTCAAACAAAGTCCAAAACAGAATGTCCCTGCCATTCTCTGAGGCTTGGACAATGTGACTTGTACAATGTCACTTAATGGGTTTCCATGACTGAGCAGGAATTGAACCCTGTTCTCCAGAGTCCTAGACCAACACTCAACATGCCACTACATCATGCTGGCCATGCACACATGCCTCTCAATAACATATTGCTACTGGAAAAAATCATTTCTCTAAGTGAGGAGAGTAGCAAATGATATCATTATCTCTGATGATCAAAACATCTCGGTGCTTTGGCCTTGACACCCTGAGCTCCACTACAAAAATACACATCAACCACTTGGTCAGAATGCTGTCAAAAAAAGGAAGGGTGTCAACAGAATGGCTCATCTAAAATTTCAATCACCCCACTGTACAACAAGAAAATCCACCTGAGGCACGTAGTTACACAGAATTTGAGTTACCATATGAAATAAGTATCCTTAAGCATTCCAGTTTTCCATACTGCGCAGCAACAAATAAAGGTGTGATCCCAAAGTCATCCACAGATTCTATGTTGGCTCCATGGTCAAGGAGTAATTTCAATATTTCAGGATATCTCTGAAGAGAAATGAAAAGGTTTGTGTTAAACAGAGCAATAGAAGTTAAAGATTTCTGAATGTATTTAAATATGGCAGGTAGGCATTCTATGTGATTGCCAGTGCCAATAGAATCAGAGAATCCTAGAGTTGGAAGAGACCTCATGGGCCATCCCACGAAGCAGAAAAATCGCATTCAAAGCAACCCCAACGGATAGCCATCCAGACTCTGTTTAAAAGCCTCCAAAGAAGGAACCTCCACCACAAGGTTCCCTCACTTTCTCAGTGTCTGTCAAAAACCGAGGGGAGGGATGGGATTTGCTTTATTTCTGTCTTATGCAAAAGAACCACAAGGGAGGCAGATTTGTCACATCTAAATTGTCAGCAATTCACAGAGCATATCCACCAGAGGGAGGTTTAAATGGATCCTTGATCAACAACATGACTTTTTTAAACACCTGAGACCAAAAATCTGAGTGTCACTGACCAACTCTTATCACATTACACATGGATATCACATACTTGTATGTTAAAGCCATGCCCCAAATCAAAAGCTCATGACATCAATTGACCAAAAACAGAAGGCACAAGCTGCTGCCCAATTGCATCCAAACCCCGCACCTAAGTTTTAGTACAACATAGAAGAATTGAAGTGAAAACTGGAAGGAAGTTCAAGAATCATCTCTTGCCTGTTCAGGAATCCTCAGCTAAATCATTCCTGACATGAAGCCAGCCAACCTTTGTTTAAAGGAAAGAAGGAGACTGCATTACCTTCCAAAACAGATTTGTTCCACTATTATATAGGGTGAGGCAGCATAACTTCCTTTTTTCAAAACTTAGTAAAACCCATTGTATGAATCAGAATTAATTTTTTTTATAATGTAGGCAAATACCTAAAGTTTTGTTTTATATAGTTTTGAAGATCAAATTAGGTAGGTGACGTCCCCCATTCTCCATTCTCCATAAACTGAGTAAACTGATTTCTGGCGTTTGTCATGACCTCTGGCCAGCATAGCAGGCTTTATGTTGGCAATTTCTTCCTGGATGTTGGTCTTCAAATCTTGTAGGGTCCTTGGATGGTTCACATAAACACGGGATTTCAAAAAGCCCCATAGAAAAAAATCGCAAGGGGCCGAATCTGGAGAGCAGGCCGGCCACTCCAAATCCGCTCGAAAAGTAGGCCTCAACGGCAAAACGACTGAATTGTGTCAGGACAAAACTTTATATTCTTGAACGAGACCACCAGCGCTCCGCTACGTCTTCAACCAACTGAATGGCGCACATTTTAAAAAAGGAAGTTATGCTGCCTCACCCTGTACAGCTCCCTCTCAACACTCAGAATCTCCCTTCATATAATTTGAATTCACTGTATCCTCTGCTGCAAAGAAGCTTACTCAATTTTTCAACTGATAGCCTTTCGGATATGGCTACTATATAACTTCTCAATCTTCTCTTTTCCAGACCCAACATACCCATCTACTCAATCGTTTCTCAAGAGCTTGTTCCAGAGCCTTTGCCAACTATTTCACCCTCTGGAAACATTCCAGCTCATCAATGTGTTTCTTAAACTGGTATTTCCAGCACTAGACCCACTACTGCAGGTGACATCTGAATGAAATGTTACTATTGCTTTATTTGTGCTGAACATTATAGTTTTGTTAATGCAGCCTAAAAGTACATTGTGTTTTTGTTGCCATGCTACCCTGTTGATCCATGTATAGTTTCTCATCTACTAAGATCTCTAGATCTTTTTATACAAGTTGTACTCAAGCCAGGAGCAATCCATCGTATATTTCTGTATCTGATTTTTGGTTAATGGCAGGTAGAAATACAAGGCTGAAATTAGCAATGGATGTGGACATAGCCATACTATTTATTTATTTATTTATTTACTTCACTTGTATACCGCTCTTCTCAGCCATCAGGCGACTCAGAGCGGTTACTAGATGTTATGGATCTGGACTGGAAACATGAAAACTGTGCAATCATTTTGAACAGCGTATTTTTTTAAACATCCACTGGGATCCTGATAGAAGGTAAGCTTGCTAACTGACTTTCAAAATAGAAATGTTCATGAAAGATAAGATATATGTAAGGAAATAAAATGGGACAAACCCATTATTTCAAGTACATTTATGTCCAATAACAAATTTATCTCCCTTGTTATATCTGATTATTTCTTAAACACGTGTAATCCTTTGGCTATTTAAAATGTTCACTGTCTAACATTCATGGCAGCTCATTCAAAATGATCATTTGCATTTAGACTGACTTCTCAATACCAGGTTGTCATAAATCAGAAAGGGGAATGGAATGCAAAAGCTACACAAAGCTGTCATTTGGAAGAAGGAAAAAAGGGAGAGAGAAACTTTATTTATATGGAAATGAAATTACGGATTTATAGATTACCTGAAAAGCAGCCTGGTGCAAGGAATTCCATTCAGACCAACAGTGAGATCCATTAATATTTGCTCCATGTTGAAGAAGAAGCTTTATCACATCAGTATGTCCATTTTCAACAGCTTCAAACAGATAGGTAAAAATCATTATCATCATTCATCTTAATCACTACCATAATCACCTGTGCTTTGTCTTCTGCTACAAAATCAAAATGAATTCATGCTATATATAAAAGTGTGACTCCACAGGTCTTACACGGGAACTCCATATTTAAGCCCAAAAAGCACTGGATTTATTTAGTAATGAAAGATGAGTGAATTTCAACAGAGGTACTTATAAACTGTATTTTATGCATTTAACACACACCCAATACATCAAATCCTTCATGTCTGATCACTTTGTCTCCAATTGGAATGCAAGTTTAAATTACAAAAATAACAAAGAGACCCAGACATTTCCTTTAGTAAGTAGAGATCGAAGAAAAGGAACTGCTAATGAAAGAAGGACCTACACACCAGGCAAGTTCATCTTTGGCCTCAAATCCTTTACATCTTGTTACCTCCTCTGGCACAGTTGCCCAATAAAGTATGAAACAGAAGTTGCTTAGAACAGGTTGGGCAACTACCCTATGTGAGATTGGGTGTAGATTAATTTGTGTTCAATCTATACCTGATACTCATGTTTAACAGACTAGTATATATGTGCATGTATAAGTCTAGAGCAGTGGTTCTCAACCTGGGGTCCCCACATATTTTTGGCCTTCAACTCCCAGAAATCCTAACAGCTGGTAAACTGGCTGGGATTTCTGGGAGTTGTAGGCCAAAAACATCTGGGGACCCCAGGTTGGGAACCACTGCTCTAGAGATTTTAGTCAGAAAATCATTCTAAACAACCTAGGTCATAGAATCACATAAATCATAGAGTTGGAAGACATCTCATGGGCTATTCAGTCCAATCCCCTGACAAGAAGCAGGAAAATTGCATTCAAAGCACCCCCAGCAGATGGCCATCCACCTCAGTTTAAAAACCTTCAAAGAAGGTGGCTCCACCACACTCCGGGAAAGAGAGTTCCACTGCTAAACAGCTCTCACAGTTAGGAAGTTCTTCCTAATGTTCAGGTGGACTCTCCTTTCAAGTCATTGTTCCGTGTCTTAGTTTCCTGGGCAACAGAAAACTCCCTATGACTTCCTCTCCCATCTTTATATATGGCCCTCATTATGTCTCCTCTCAGCCTTCTCTTCTGCAGACAAAACATGCCCAGCTCTTCAAGCTGGTCCTCACAGGGCTTGTACTCCAGACCCTTGATCATTTCAGTCACCCTGCTCTGGACATATTCCAGCTTGTCAACATCTCCCTTAAACTGCGATGCCCAGAATTGGACACAGGTGTGGTTCAACCAAGGCAGAATAGAGGAGTAGATTGACTTCCCTGGATCTAGACACTGTACTCCTATTTATGCAGGCCAAAATCCCATTGACTTTTTAAGTTGCTGCATCACATTGTTGGCTCATGATTAACTTGTTCATGAGGACTCAAAGATGTTTTTCACACATGTCCCATTCAAGTCAGGTACCCCACATTCTGTATCTTTGCATTTCATTTTTTTCTGCCTAAGTGAAGTATCTTGCATTTGTGCCTGTTGAGCTTCATTTTGTTAGTTTTGGCCAATCTCTCTAGTCTGTTAAGATCATCCATCGATCAATGTAAATAATACACTTTTAAGTTTTCTGTCAAAAAAGAAGCCATTCCCTTCTCTGAGTAGAGAGGTGAAAGATGAGAGCTTAATCCATCCTGAGACTAAAAGAAGCCCCAACTGTCTCTGCTCTCTTCTTCTCACCAGGGCTTCTGGACTTTTTGAATGCCTAGCTAGGAGAATGATATGTGGTGATGATCAATCTTTGACACTTCCCTTCAAAAGAGCGCTCAGAGAGTGTTGATATTTCTTTGAGACCGACTCCCTCCCCCCAGGATGGCAAAATACCATTTTGAATGCATGGGTGGGGAAATGGTGGCAGTGCTCAGAGGCGCTGGCCCCAAGGCAGCACTGGCACTTTCCTCTATCTGAAGAATGACCCTTGACTCATCCACATTCATATCAAAAGCCAAAATTTGGGACCCAAATTTTCCCCCCAACTTATAAAAGAGATCAACTTACAGATGAGTATATACCAGTGATTCCCAACCTTTTTTTTTTTACCAGGGACCACTTGACCAGGGACCACTTGGCCCCTGATCCAAGTGGTCCAAAAGGGCTACGAATCAGTTTTCATTCAACTTTAGATTCTGTTTAGTTATTTGGGGTACTGATTCAGAAAATTGCATTGGATAGACCACATCAGCTCTAGCTTCTGATACAGAACATATCCCATCCAGTAGTCATCATCTGCTCACCCACAAAAACCATATTTAATAATCTAGAGCTGATGAGGTAGTAGTAATATTTTGTGGGTAGTCAGCCTCTCCCCTCTGGACATCCCATTGCCTCACTGTAAGAAGGTTTCCACATGGTTTCGAGGCAATGGTGTAGTAATCGTAATGGGGCTGACCATATTTTTGTTCTTGCGGACCACTGGTGACCACTGGACCACAGGTTGGGAACCACTTGTATATAGAGTATTTTTTAAAATCCAGTAAGACATAACCCATATTTGCTTTTATAGTCAAAGCTTTCCAGATTTGAGAGAAGTCCTTTGCCAAGAAACATTCATAGGATGGACATAATTCTTAAATCCTTAAATCCTCAGTACTGTTGTGTTGTATGTTCGAACACAATTTTCATTTTTTTTAGTACAGCAGATACTAGATAGATAGATAGATAGATAGATAGATAGATAGATAGATAGATAGATAGATAGATAGATAGACTGACAAACAGATAGATAGATAGATGAAATTCTAACCCCTCTATTTATAGAGAGCGAATGAGTGAATGTTAGTTTATGGCCAGTTTTATGTATTTCCTATACTCTGTTTTCAAGAAAGTATTCTCATTTTGTCTGCTGTCTGCAGATAAGATCTTGAACCTTTGATGAAGTAGCAGAAAATGACTGGCGAGACACACTGATGTTTCTAAAGCTGTCTTAGCCTGAAGGAAAAATTGCCATACAATTATTGCATTTGTTGCTCGAGATGGGAACTGTGATGTGCTGTTAAGAAAGATAAGCAAATAATAGATCTTTTCAGTTTTGTGATGGCATGAAAAACAACTGTCAAATTAGAAAACTACAAGCATACTGTGACTGAAATGAAGGCAGCTTGTTTTCAACTACCTACTATGTCCCATTGATTTGTCTGCTGTAGTTGAGGCTGAATTTGGATTTAGTCCATTAAAAGTAAAACGGATTATGATCCTGGAGTAAAAATACAGAGGGGGTGAAGTTACAAAAAAAGCAAAACATTATTAACTAATCAATTAGTCTATGTAAAATAATAAGACCTGCATGAACAGCAAACTTTTTTAGAATTTTCAATTGATTTTCCAAGTGAGATACCACAATTAAAGGTAATATTGGATAAAATATGATATGAGGTAAGATTGATAATATAGAGAAGACACAGTATATCTCCCTTGCATTTTATTCCATAAAAAGTATTTAAACTATATTGAAGATAAATATGAATGAAGACAATGCTGAATGCATGTTTTGTACTATTCTTTATTACTATTTTACTTTGTGCCATGTTACAGAGCTTCAATATGTTGATTATAACGTAGTGTGTGCTCATTCAGAGAAAGACCTACAAGCCACTCTCAACACCTTTGCAAAAGCATACAAAAAGCTTAACCTCCCACTGAACATTAAGAAAACCAAAGAACTCCACCAGCAGGCACCAATCAAACCTTCTGCAATGCCAGACAGACAGCTTAATGGTGTGATGCTAGAAAATGCTGACTATTTCCACTACCTAGTCCAGTGGTTCCCAACCTTTTTTGACCAGGGACCACTTTGACCAGGAACCATTCTCCAACATTACTACCAAAAGGGTTACAAATAAGTTTTGGTCAACTTTAGGTTCAGTTTGGTTATCTGGGGCGCTGATTCAGAAAACTGCATTGGCTAGACCACATCAGCTCTAGTTCCTGATAAAAAACATAAGCCATCCAGTAGTCGCCATATGCTCGCCCGCAGAAAACCATATTTAATAAGCCTCGGCATTATAAGAGGGTTTCTCGAGACCAGTCGCTCCTGTTGTAATAGTGTAGTAACAGTGAAGCCGCAGATCATATTTTAGTTCTTGCGGACTACTGGTGATCCACAGACCACAGGTTGGGAACCACCGACCTAGACAGTCACATCTCCACAAAAATTGGCATGAACACGGAAATACAACACCACCTGAGTTCTGCGAGTGCAGCATTTTTTTTTTGAATGAAGCAGAGTGTTTGAGGATAAGGACATTCATAGGGATACCAAGATGTTTGTTTATAAAGCTATTATCCTTCCATCTCTATTGTGTGCCTGTGAAACAAGGACCATCTACAAATGTCACTCTCAACTTCTGGAAAAATTCTATCAACATTGCTACCGAAAAATCCTGCAAGTGTCTTAGGAAGACAAGAGGACAAATGTCAGCATTCTGGAAGAAGCAAAGATCACCAGCACTGAAGTGGTAATCCTCTGCCATCACCTTTGCTGGACTGCCCAAGTTACCTAAATGCCAAATCACTGTCCTCCAAAGCAGTTACTTTGCTCTTAAGTCAAGAATGGAAAACAAAATGTCAGTGTACAGCAAGAGATGCAAAGATGAGCTTAAAGCTAACCTAAAATATGTGGAATAAACACCAAGAACTGGGAAGCCCTGGTCCTTGAGTGTTCTAACTGGAGGTCCGCTGTTACCAACAGTGCTGTGGATTTTGAAGAGGCACAAATGAAGGGACAAAGGGAGAAACATGTCAAAAGGAAGGTGTGTCAAGCAAGCCCTTATTGTGGTAACCTTCCATTTGGAAATCTATGTCCTCACTGAGAAAGACCATGCAGATCCAGAATTAAGTCTCTGCAGTCACTTACAGACCAACTGCCGAGACGCTACTTCTGGAAGACAATCCTATTTGGTAATAAATGATCACAGATAGATATAGATATAAACAGATATAAATAACTAAAGAACAGATATTGTGCTA